CTTTTCCAACCTTAACGATTCTATGATTCTACAATCCACTTCGTGTTGCCTTTTTGCTCTGTCCCTCCATGCAGAGGTGACTGTGGAAGCCGCGCAAGCCACGGTTGGCAGCAATTAATTCACCTGCCTGCAGGAATCCCAGTAAACCAGTTTTCCCGCTTGCCGTACAGCTCCCTGCTTGCTCCTGGCTGAAGTTCAAGGTGTTGATCTGGGTGCCTAGAGCCAGTGTGGTTTGGACCCCGCTGTGAGACACGGTTTCCATCGGTGACCTGCAGCGCGGTGGCCTGGCTCCCTGCGGCTCCTTCTCAGCCAATCCTATGGCTGCTGGCAAGCAGGTTGCCAGAGTTGTGCTTTGAAAACAGAGCCTGGGGCAGACCTGTGTTTATTTCAAGGCTGGGGAAGGGAGCTTTTGCTTTTTATTTAGGAAAAAAACCAAAGTGCAGGTATTTCTGCAGTAGTCTTTTGCTCTGCTTTCTCTGCCTGTCCTTCCTTAAACTCCGCATAAGCTAGTCTGGAAGTTTAGTCTGGCTCTCGGCTTGGCTTCAGTGATGCTTGTTCTCTGCTATCAGTTTAAACTCTCAGATCTTCATTTTTTTAAAGTCAGGCTACATAGTGACATCGCGATGGCTTTTTAGGCTTCTTCTCTAGGTCGCCACGGTCGCCACATCCTATTTTGGCTGTAAATTGGATCCTATCCTACTAAGCGAGATGCGCCATACCGGGGAGGACTTGGGTTGTCTCCAGCTACGAGTGTGCGTGATGCTGACGTAGAAGCCTTGCGATCATACTTGTTTTCAAGGGTCTTGCGCGTCTCTAAGGTCTCCGTCGGGTGTTTTGACGCGTTGTTGGACAATGCTGCCTTTGGTCTGAGAAATATGGTAACCTATGTGACTTCTCAAACGTGACGTGACCCAACCAGCCGTTAGTCGTAGTTCACCCATCCTCTGACTGTTGAATATATGCTGCTGATATGTCTTTTCTTTTCTGTCACGTACAGAATACATTCAGAAATATGCAACAGAAGAAGCACTAAAAGAACAGGAAGAAGGCACCGGGGACAGCTCGTCCGAGAGCTCCATGTCCGACTTCTCGGAAGATGAGGCTCAGGATATGGAGTTGTAGTAGAAGAGGCAACCTGCTTTTCAGAGAGACTCTAATTTCCTAACCATGAGAAGCAGACTATAATATTCATATTTAAACAAAGCAATTTTTTTTATTACTAAACAGGTTTTTATGAATAATAGCATTGATATATATATATCACCCTTTAGATCTTGATTTTCTTGGTCATTTCTCGAACCCGAGGTGCATAGCATATTCCCACATTCCATTTTGGTAGCAATATGCAGCCCGAATGCATGCATTCAAATTCCATTTGGCCAAGTCAACTTGTGTGCTACTGAACTGTCAGCTAAAACAGCTGCCCTGGTAGGTAGGGAGTTAGCAAAAAGATGTTTGCTTTCTTATCGATGTTTCCAAAGACACCACCTTGGATGCTAACGTGGAACAGCGTTTTCTCAAAGTGTAAAATCTGGGGGATGATACACTAACCGTGTAGATCAGACAGTGGAATAAAAGGTGCTCCTTCAGGTCAACCTTGCTGATCGTATTTTACGTGGAGTCACATTTAAAAAAATAAATAAAATAAAAACAAACAATACAAATGCATGGAGCTATTCAGAGCATTGAAGCTTAAAAATTTTGACTTGGATTTTAAGTCCGTTTTTATATGTGGACTCCTGCCTGCCCTTCTGAACTGTAGGGACTGACAACCACTGGTCTATTTGCTTTTGGGACTTTCGAAAGCCTTCATCTGGATATTATTCACTTTCTTGGTCTGGATTACGAGCTGTTCCCTTTCGGGGGGAAAAAAAAAAAAAAATACAAACCACAAACGATGCTCTCTGAACAGTGCTTTGATTTAGCTGGAGCACATGTGAAGTCAAACTCTTACTTTGTCATAGTTTTGAAACTGCTGCCCTTTAATGGCTTCAAGTTTTTTTTTTTTTTTTTTTTTTTTTTTCTCTCTCTCTCTCTTGCTTGAAGTATGGTTAAACACCTCGCAAACACTCTCCAACTCCTAAGAGGGTCCTCTGACCAGATGGATTAGCCTTGCTGAGAGCTTCAGATCCACGAAGATTGGCCCATTGGCTGTAGTCCACGAATCCATCGGCACTGATTTTATTTTCCTTCCCCCCCCCCCCCCCCCATCTGCACCAGCTTGGTTAGCCATCTGCTTGTGTGTGTACAACAGGATTAAAATTTCTTAAAAGTTAACAAAGAAATATGATCTAGAAAAATTTGAGATGAATAAAAAAAGCCTAAAAGCACCCATTGAGGAAGCAAGTGAATCTGCTCTGTTCTGGTTTTTGTTGTTGGTTTTTTTTTTTTCCCCCAGGATGCTTCTGAATTGAAATGTTTGATTTCTCCTGGTGTCCTTCAGCAAGCTGAGATTTTTTTTGTTTGTTTGCTTTAACGCTATGAAATCTAATATAGTAAATGTCTCCCTGGGATGCCGGTATACTTGAATTTGGATAATTGTGCATTGGAGAGTCAAACTAAGATGGATTTTTAAAGCTGAATGTTACCTGCTGTATTCTTTTGGGGTTTTTGGAGGCGTTTGGACGAGATGTTTTAATTTGTGGTGCAACCTACAGGACAGTGCATGGAAAAAAAAAAAAAATCAACCCACCCTGAGCAACTCTTGTGCAGAGTTTTGAATGTCAGACTGGTACATTTGTCATTTTCCCAGAATTGTGTGGGTTTTTTTTTTTTTCCTTTAGAAATGCAACCAAGTTTTGAGTCATTGGGGTTGGAAGGTTACAATCCTATTTCTAATTCATAAAGCACAATCAATTTTTTTTTTTTTCTTCTGGAAAAAGAAAAAAAAAACCAAACACCAAACCTCGTAAAGTACCACTTTGCTTTAGCATGATTTTCCTTAATAAAAATATACAAAGAATTTCCTTTATGTTAATTACGGGCATGAAGCAAAGGTTTTTCCTCTCCTTTTTCCCTTTTTATTTTAAAGCAGTAATGTTAGGGCTGTGGCTAGTGACTGTGCTGAAGTTCTCTATCTAGCATTTGTGGCTTGTCGGAAGGGTAATATTAACTATTTAACATGTAATGGTGTACTTAACTCTTATCTAGCACGCTGTTTTTCTCATTACTTTGGGGAGGGAGGGGCCACGGTTTGCTGGCACTGTTTAACTTGCTTACCTGCTGACCTAGCAGTTTGCTTGTGCTATAACCTTTACTGTAGGTGCTACTTAGGAGTAGAGTAAGTGCTGGGTGGTGATATCAGTTTAAAAGATAAAAAAAAAAAAAACAAAAAAACACAATAAAAATTTGTATTTTTTCAATATTGTATAAAAATAGTGTTCTAATTACCTCATCCCCCTTCCTTTGCAGGTTTTTCTTCCCCGTCACTCCATCCCCTAACTCGGATTTAGTGCATCAAACCGCTCGCACGTTCCCCCCCTCCTTTTGTGAAACGCGTGTTCTGCTAAACTGGGATTCCCCCCAAAAAATACCGGTAAAGCCACCGTTGGCCAGGGCCAGCTCCTGATCCGGGCTCGCAGAGCTCGTCCAAACTGTGCCAGCGGGCAGCTCGACAGGTCTAGAGCCACGAAAACGCGCGTCCCCAGCAATTCCCGACGCTCCTGAGCTGTGGCAAAGCTCACTGAGGGTTGCCCTGTGCCCGGCGGCGGAGAAAAACCCGGCTGCCAAAGTGCTGCTTGTAAAAAAAATAACGTCTGTCCTGGATGTCAGATGCTTCTAGGGGCCGAGGTGGACCGGGGTCCGCTCTGCGGGTCGGGAACGCCTGCTCCTGGCCGCCTTCCACCCCTCTGCTTCTTCCCCTCCAGCGTTTTTCACCTCTTTCTCTTCCAAATCTCCCTCCTTCTCCCAAAAGAAACTTCCCCCCCCAAATAGTTTGTAAATAAAACTACACCTACGTAGTCTGGAAGAAAAGGTGGAGCCATACTGAAGCGAGATAGCTCTTTTTTTTTGGGGTCATCTTGAGGGTTTTTTCTCTTCTTCAGGAAAACAGTGGTGGTGTCACCTCCTGCTCTGTCAGGGTGATGGGAATTTCTCAGCCAGCCCGCGACGGACCCCGGCTTGAGCTCCCCGCTACCAAAACTTGCCACGGCCCCTTGGCGCTGTTTTGGAAACAACCTTTGGCTTCTATTCCTGTAATCTCTCCTTTTGCTGGCGAGGTTTTTGCTGTGATGTGAAAAGCTGAGTTGCCGTGCCCCTCGATGGTGGCACCCGGTGCCTCGGGGCCGGTCGGTGACCCTCCGTGCTGAATTTTTCCCGACCCACAGGTCGGTTTGGCGGATGCAGTAGGATGCCGGTGCGGGGACGGGCTGGAGCAGAGCTTTGCCGTCATCCCTGTATGGCGTGGGCTTGTCCTCTTGCCTCCACCGTGTCCGTGGTTGAACCCCAACCCATGTCTCTCTTCTTTACATGTCTACCGTCCCTTAACGCGTGCCGGAGGGACGAGGCTCCCCATCCCCGCCGGCGGACGGCACCCGCCCGGCAGGGACCCTCCTCGCAGACCATCGGGAAGGCTGGGAGGTGTTTGAACGATTTTCTCTTTTATTTTTTTGCTTCTTTTTCGCTCGTCCAAGTTCTGCTGGCACTTTAGCGGGGGTGTTCGCAGCATGAGAAATGGCCATGAGTTTACTGCCTGTGTTTGGTACCTATCGTGTGATACTTGAAGAGATCAGGGGTGTTTTTCCCTTTGTTTGAGTCGGCTCTTTTTTTTTTTTCTTTTTTTTTTTTGCGTTGTTGATATAGTGGGCACATCTACCACCCTGACAAAATGCCTCTTCTCTAAGAGTATAACCTCTCCAATAGCTGTGTATAATTAAAGAACTGTAAACTTTTTTTAAAATAAAATATGTATATACCTTGAAGCTTGGCTGGTGCTTGATCGCCGAGAGCTTGGTCTTGCAGGAAAGACCCTGGACCTTGCGGCGTTGACTCTGCGTCCCACCACAGCTTCACCCGTGTCCCATCTATGCCAGATCAAAGCCATCCTGGGGTATCTTCTGCCTGGAGATGATCGGCTGGAGGTGGAAGCAGAGGTTGTTGCGCACACCCAACACGTGGATGGTAGTGCTCGGGGTAGCCGGCTCCTTCTCCAGCTGATTGCCAGTGGGTGATGTCCTTCCATGCCCAGTGACCGTGGCCGGGGCACCAAAGCTGGTTTTTAGGGTCTTGGGCTGGAAATGAGGGATCAGTGCAGCCGCGGGGCATCCGTCCGTCCCTCCCCATCCCTCCACCTGTGCGGCCTCATAGCGTGGATTTCTTTCGAGGTCTCTTCTTGCAGCGGGACAATCATTACAGGTAATGCTGCCAGAGGTGCCGCAGCCATCGTGGGAGCCGTCTTTGGTGTCCTGGGCCGGTAATTATGGCAGAGGTGGCTGTTTTCTGTATAATCATGCATAATTTTGGCTTGATGTTATGCGGGGATTGGGATAACGTACACAGGGGCTGTGACCGGGAGCGGGAGCCATTCAGGGACCCCCAAATTGGCGTTTCGAGGCTGTGGATGGGCCAGGGAAGGGGAAAACAGCCTGGCATGTGGCTTGTCCTCATCCTGGTTTAACTTGCTGCAGCTGCTCTCCCAAATTTGCTGGAGCTGAGCGAGACCTTCCTCTCCATCCTCCTCCTCCCCGCACCCTTCCCTCGCTCCAGCCAGGGCTGTTTGTCACCCTAAGACCCATCTTGGGGACAGGGTGGCGGGTCCGTGTTGTGCCAGTGCCACCTGCTGCCAGCACCCAGCCTGGCAGCCCTGAGCACCTTCGGGTGATGCTGGGTGCACTGGGGGGGGGGACACACCCCGTCCCAGTGCCACCTCTTGGGGCCACCAGCCCTCTGGGCTCTGCCCCTTGCCCTGGGGAGGGAGCAGGGAAGGGGGGACAGTCCTTACCCCCCCCCCCCGCAGTGTCCCCCCCCCTTTTAGGGGAGCTTTAAGGGCCAGCTGGGGGTGGCACTGTCCCCTCTGCCCAGCAGGTGGCCCCCGTGCCACACCAGTAGCCTCCCACTCTGCCCAGTACAGGGTAAAGCTGGCCCCGGTGCTGGGTTCCCTCCCTGTCCCCTGGCTGTGGCCCCATCGCTGCTCTGTCCCCTGGGTGCCAAGTGCCACCCATCGTCCTCCTTCGGGGTCTGGGGCTCGGCTCAGCCTGGCCCGAGCTCCTGCGGGGCCCCGGGAGGTGGGTGCTGCTTGGGGGGCTCGGTGCTGGGGTGACACGGGGGACAGGGACCCCGGGAGCACCCGGAGGCTCGTCCTGCCCCGTCTGTGTCGATGCCGAAGGGCATCAAGGGACAAAGCACTGAGCCTGGGGACCCCCCGGGCTCTGGGTGCCATCTCGCAAGGCACTGGGTACCTTCCCCATGGGGCTGTAAGTGACATCCCCGTGGGGCACTGGGTGCCATCCCTATGGGGCTCTGGTTGCTACCATCATAGGGCCTTGGGTGCCATCCCCATGGAAGTCTGGGTGCCATCCCCAAGGGGCTGTGGGTACCATCCCCACAGGGCTTTGGGTGCAATCCCCATCAGGCTCTGGTTCCCATCACCACAGGGCTTTGGGTGCCATCCCTGTGGGGCTCTGGGGGCCGTCCCCATGGCCACACAGCTCCTGTGACAGAGGGGGACAAGCCAGGGCTCTGGTTCCTTCCCCTCCCAGCTTTGTCCCTGTGCTGGGTGCCAGCACCTTCCACCGTGGGAACCACTCCCTGTCCCCCTTCGGGACCCGAAGGACCTTGGGTGCTGCATACCCATCCGGATGCCACCCCAAGGGCTGCCAGCACTGCAGCCTGGCCCAGGCCACCAACCCAGGGGCAACGTGCACCTCCGAGCCCCAAGCAGGCACTGAGACGGGCCACTTGCGGTGACCCCAAGGGCCACGGGGGACACCTGAGCCTGCTCTGCGTGCCCCATGCCAGCTCCGGTTACGGCCCGAATTGTTCCTCCCGGCTGGAAGAAATGCCG